GCTTAGTATAATTAGAATCAACCCTAAGTCATTTCTTTGAACAAACGAATACAATTAACTGAGGTACGTTTGTTGAGATTTACTTCCCTTAAAAATGTACCAGTTGGGCAGTAGTCTTTGAACTTTTGAACAGGAGAGGGTCTTATAAGATACAGTGTGACTCCCTATTTTACACAACGGAGGTGGACCCTGTGTGCCTAAGCTTTGAACCCTGTAACCTGTTAGGGTTAGCTAACAGAAGCTTAATTCCTTTTTTATCACTGCTGGCTTAGCCAATCTTCAGCATGCATTCATGATAAAGGGCCTAGAAGCATCTTGAAGTATGATATTTCTGGGACAATACAAAAGGATAAAGGTAAATTTGGCCCCAGTTAGGTAAATAGTATGAAACTTTAAACACAGACACACACACAAACACTCCCAGCTGTAGCTGCACACCTGGAATGGATCCTGTCCACTACAGGGATGTTTTGAAGTACTTAGTAATTTCAATAATGACTGTAATAGTTATAAAATAACAGATTGATAGCCACTTTTGGGACTCTTGCCTTCAGTAAATCAGAAAATTATTTTATGCTAAGGAATCAGGGAGAAAAGCTATTGCAAAGTGAGGCTGAGCCTGACAGTCTGCGGAGTGTTGCCAGAAGACAAAGCTGATGATTATAGCGGTCTGCTGAACTTGCCTAGTGAAGGACATCTCTTGGGTGGCAGGAGTCCAGCTCCTGAGAGAGCCAAATGTCCTCGAAAAAGACCATGCTGGGGTCACAGTGCAGTCTGGGAATCAGATGTGGCAGGTATGAGGCATGAGTGTGCCTCTCTGACCATCATCCCTGCCTAGGAAGGAGAAAGGGCCATGGAGAGAGCATCTGGATGTGGCTTATATGTTTGCCCTCTTTTTTCACTTTCACAACTCTTGGCATAGAGCCTGACAATTTAACAAATTCTCTAAGTGTGTAAGTCCCACCTCACCCATTTTTTCCCCCTAAGGCATGGTCTTCCTTTCAGAAACAGATCTTCTCCTGGTAGTTGCCCATACACCTGGCCTCCTACTATGCAGTAGAGGCTCAAGCACTGATCTGTGGACCATTTCATCTGGGACAATATGAGGAAATTAAGAACAAAGCAGAAAGTTTATCATTAAACTGAATTTATTTAAGTTTAAGAATTATCCTTTATTCTGATGTGGTGATTGTGAATTTTATTTTATCACATGCTGATGTAAGAAATGCCATCTTTTTTTTTCTAACTTGAATCAAATCTTTCCCTGAGTCTTTTCTCATCAGAGTAGAAAGAAATGAAATCTCAATCCTGTTTCAGAGGGCTTCATCCTTTTTGTGCACTCACACAAAGATCTAAGGGACTTATGTAGTGCCTGGAAATGGGAGTCAGAATCATTTTAGGGAGAGTGGTAAACAAGGTACCAGTGTGCTTTTAAACAATGAGATTGCACATAAATCAAGTTTTATTGTATTGCTGAGCTTGTGGGAAGGGAAATATCCAAGAGGCATGGTGAGTGGACAGGAAAGGTGGAGTTACCCTAAAAGGCAGATGACAATATTAGCATCACATTTGGAAAATTAAATATAAAGCCAGGGGGATCCTGAAGTTCTGGTAAAGTAGGGATCTGGGAGGGGGCTACTCAGTTCCAAGATGATACATATCCTGGACCCTGACAGATGCAAATACAAATCCTTTCTGGGGGAAGATATCATCGATTTCAACCCCCTAGATTAAAATCCATAGATGGAAGTCATCCAACCATGAGCTCACACTGTGAGACCACAAAATACAAAGGAACAAACCCCCACGCGTGATAGTTAACATAAACAACTGCATATTTATATCTCCAGGGACTTTTGATGTTAGGCACAAAGTGTAAACTAACTGTGTGTGTATAAAATATTTAATGGAATAAAAGATGCATTATAAAAATTAACAAGCAGCAGGACTCTAAGATGACCAGTTAAATTTGAAAGAGAATCATCCAGAACTTTAGAAATAAAAAATACAAGGATGAAAATACAAACTAATTGTGTGGGGGGGGAGGGGGGAGGTTTAACAGCCAATTAAACATAACTGCATAGAGATTAGTAAATCAGAAAGCTGTCCCCTAAGTACTTGGACCTGCAGCATCGTCAGCCCTGAGAGCTTGTTAGAAATGCAGACTCTTGGGCTCCACCCAGAATTATTGAATCAGAATCTGACGTTTAATAAGATTCCCTGTGATTCGTAGGCATGTTCAAGTTTGAGAAGTACTAAACTGGAAGAAAGTACATAGACTGCAGAACAAAGAGATGCGGAGGAGGGAGAGGTTAAAGAGATAGGGCAGTGAAAGAGAGTCTAGAAAAATTTAATTCTGGTCAGTGGTGAGATTAAAAATGTTAGAGCACAGATAACATTTGAAGAGAATATCCTAGAACGATGAAAGGCATGAATTCACATATACAAGAATTTACATCAAACAAGAAAACCAAATAGTTCATGGCCAGGAGTGAGACCACAGAATATCAAGTAGACAAGTAGAAGAGCAGTCTATGTATTTTGGTGTGTAAACATAAAACTAAGGTGTTTCAAGATGAGGTGTTGCAAAGTGACAACTGGTAAAGGAGTGGTCTTTCTCACCTGCCTGGAGGACACAACTGAGCCTGCGCAGTGACAACAGTGAGCATGAAGGGAGTGAACAAATGTCTACAGAAGGTACTTGTGTATCTGATAAATCCATGAAAACTTGGAATCCCAAGGGTGCCAATCCTAGGTTGCCTTGGAGAGAGCTGTGCCTCTCAAAAGGTATCAGTCTATTTAGTTAGCACATGGTCTGAAAATAGGCAAAGCGTACAAGTGGTATGACCTGGCTGACCACTTCCTGGTCCCCAGGAAGCCCTGGCTGCAGCAGGTGACAGGTGGAGAGGACAAGAAGGTTCTTTCCCCACTGGGCAGCCCCAGTTCTTACCACCCTCCCCTGAAGGATTTTTCACAGGGTGAACTTTTGGGGTCTGACACCACTAAGACTTGTTGCTCCCTACCTTCTCCAACATCTGGGCACACACTCTGCCCAGATGCCAGGCAGAGACCCCAGAGCTCACCCCGGAGAAGGTAAAAGAGCTTACCCATCCCTGGGGCCCTGGGGGGTGCTGGATGGCACTTTCTGGAGAGTTTCCCTTGTTTTATCAGACCTGCTCTACCTTGCCCAGACCTCTAGGCTCACCGCAGGGGCATTCCTGAGTGGTTTCTCCTGCCATACCCACAGCGACAGGGGTAGAGGCTGGTGAGGACTTTGAGAAATGCTGGTTGGAAGGCTCTGGTGGGAATGAAATTGGTTCTGTCATTTAAGGAAGCAATGGGTATAAGTAATTTCAAAAATGTTTACACCCTATGACCTGGCACTTCCACACACACAAATCCTTCTTAAAGAAGTCTGCAAATGCAAATAAAGCCTTGTGTAAAGACTCACCATGCTGTTATTTATAATAGCAAAAATAGAAACAAATATCCAATGAAAGAGAATTGAAATAAATGGAAGCACAGTGAGGAAATATCACAGAGCTGATAAACATTTTATTTATAAAGTTTGGTAAAATATGGAGAAATGTTTATAAGAATTAAGTGGGGGGGGGGTGCCTGGCTGGCTAGGTCGGTGGGGCATGTGATTCTTGATTGGGTTGTGAGTTTGAGCCTCACATTGGGCATCGAGATTACTTACAAATAAAAAATTTTTTAAAAGCATTAAGTGGGAAAAGCAGGATCTAAAGTTGTGTATGCAAAATAATTTGTAAGAGAGAACACCAGTAAATGATGTGAAGGAAAAAAAAAGGAAAGGAAATGCAACAAAATGCCGCAGTGATCACAGTGATGGTCTGGAGGAGTGGTGAGCCTGAGTGAGTTTTCTTCTCCTCCTCCGCCTGAATTTCTAACTTTTGTATACTGAGCAACCACCCATTTCACTTTTTAAAGAAAGTTGAAAAAGAAAAAGAAAAAAAAAGAACAGTCTTCTTATTCTATCCCCTCCCCCTTTCCTCTCCAGGGGACCAGCCTCAGGGTCATCATTGGGTTCCTCTTAGGTTCCTGCCCTGTGTCCTCTCTCTAGCCCTGTAGACGCCCACCTGCACCCAGTACTTTCCAATCCCTCCCTAACCCCAGCCCACAGGCAATTAACCCTTTCTCTATGAGGAAGGAGCCAAGCTTTTCTCCAGCCTCCTTCCAAAGCCTAGGATGCATGGCTGGGTGGGGAGCTGGGAAAGACAACGCCTCCCTGCCAGTCCTGGACTCACCCCTTCCAAGGTGCACCTAACCTGGGCTTGGACTCGGATGGGCCCAGGAAAGCCCCCAACTGGGTCATGGTGTCGTGGGCAGAGCAGCCCCTATTGTGTGTGTGTGGGGGGGGAGGCAGAGCAGGTGGGAGACCCCACACACCAAATGTAGCCTCTAAACTGGATGAACCTGAGGCCACTGCTTCTCAAACTCAGGTATTAGAGCCACCTGACACTTGTTAGAAATGCAGAGTTGTGGGGCCAGCCCCAGAGATGGTGTAGAGCCCAGGAATCACATTTTTAACCAGCTTCCTGAAGGAGTGGGATGCAGTCACATTTTGAGAAATCAGAACCTTGTCTATCTCCTGGCATGCTCTTCCTCCTCCTCCTTGCACACTTATGCAGGAGAAAGTGGTGCTGAGTCAGGATGGAAGGGAGAAGAAAGTGGGGGTCTCTTGCTGGGTACCCCGGTGCAAGGGATCTCTTGTAGCAGATACAAACTCAGACCAGATCTCCTGAGCCTTGCCTGGCTCTGGCGAGCTCCAGAGGCTGCCCGCCCCGCCCCACCATGCCCAGGGATGTGAACATATTGAGGAGGTCCCAGTCTCCCCACTGGAACTGTGAGGCCACCCTCTGGGGCTGGCCAAGGCTTCCAGGTCAGGCTGGGCGTGCAGGAGGAGAGCCTGGGGAGGGTTGGGGAGAGCCTGGGGAGGGTGGGGGAGAGCCTGGGGTCTGGCAGGTGAACTCTGAAGCTATAGCGGAAAGTTTATTGGAGTTAGTGCAAATCTAGCCGTTCAGATTCCCGGCAGGCTGCCCTGGGGGGCACTCTTGCCATGCTAGACTGAGATGAACTTTGAGAAGCAGAGCTCCTCCTCCGACATGTGGAGGGGAGGCCCTGGGATGATGTTCCCCTCCAGGTCTTGCAAAGGCACTTCACTTTCTTCTGAACTCTGCAAAGAAAAAGCAGTCAGGGGTTGAAAAGCAGAGTCCAGCCGGGGGTCTCCAGGAATGGTCCACCCCAGCCTTTCCCACAGTTCTGGGCCTCTGTCCATCTAAGGAGCACAGACCAACAAGGTCTCCCCAGAACCCCCAAACTCTGATTCATGCCCTCACCTCTTTCCAAACATCCTCCTCCCTAACCTCTGGCTAGGTTTTGCCTGCAAGTGTTGGAATCCTGCCAGCCCAGAGCTCTTTAAACTGTGACTACCAAACTATTCAAGAACTTTCTGGATGGGAAAATGAGGATGTAAGTTCGGGAGTCCTGACTCCCGAATGAAATGGCCTGCGCCTATGGTTATGGTGGGCGTAGGTGGGGGGATGCAAGGGGCAGTGTTCTGGAAGCGGATACTGAGGAAAAAGGCCCCCCCATCACTTCCCTGCATTGTCAGAGAGGAGCCAGGGTAGGTGACTCCAGATCCCCGGCGCCCTCTGTTCACACCTGGCTGAGGCACTGGATTTCTGTGCACGGGCTGGCGGCGGGCTCTGGGCTGGCGTGAGGCCCGGAAGGCCCTGCGGGGTTGATCACGGGGTACTCCAGCGGCTGAAACAGAGACTCGGTCAGCATGGCCCCGTTCCTGGTGGCAGGGGTGGTCCACCCGCCCCAGCAAGGGGGAGCCACGGGAGAGCATGGGATAGGGGGAAGAACACAGGCTGTGGAGTCAAAGCCCCTCCGTCCTATTTCCTACATCTCAGAGTGACCTTGGGCACCCACTAACCTCTCTGAGGCTCAGTCTCCCCAGCTGTAAAATAGGGATAAGAATTTTACCCTCAAGGTTATCACGAACATTTGTGGTAATGTTTTATTGCTCGACACCTGGGAGCTCCTGGAATGATTCATTCATTTTCACTATTGTCATTTCTATCCTTGAAGCAGAAAGAATGTGCAGGCTGCAGGTTCCTGGCAGGCCCCGGGGAGGGCAGCGTCGAACACCTCAAAGGCTCACCAGATAACAAACCACAGAGAAAAAATTCTTTATAAGTCATAAGCCCGAGCACCCTCTTCTAGATCGGATAAGGAAGCCAAGGCCAAGCGAAGAGAGGTAGGTAGTCCAGGGTGAGTAGGAGCCATCTCGGGACCAGCAGTGGGGCAGAAGAGGCTGGAGCCGGCCGGGGCCCCCAGGCAAGTCTCCCAGGTGTCCCCGCCAGCAAATCCCGTGGCTTGATGGGCACTGAAGACAAAGAGGCTCCTGTTTTCTGGACATCTACTGGGGTCTCATCTCATGATTTCCCAACCACAACCCCGTGAGATGGGGATATTGCAGCTCAGAGAGGTGAGGTAACTTGCCAGATGTCACACAGCTACCAAGTAGCTGAGCTGCCACTAGGACTCGTGACCATGTGACCTTAGACCCAAGCTCTTTTCCAATCCCATGCTACCATCCTGGCAGGGCATGCCGCACACTTCCCTTTGTTTCAATGTCGCTCGTCCCCTAACTGCCTCCTCTGCACCTGCTTCTATCACTGCCCTAGCTGCAGGGGGTGGGGCAGAGGTGGACATCTGAGCCCTCTCTGGCGACACATTCCGTCTTACAGGAAAAGCTGAAAATCAGAGCAGAAACCCTCAGCAGGGCTGGGGCTGGGGGGACGAGGTGATGAGGGAATGGGGTGGGGTGAGTGGAAAGAGACTTCACTTTCAGTCACGGCCCTGGTCTCTCCTAGTCCTGCCTATGGTGAGGACACAGCAGAGCCGGGGCCTGATCAGGACTCCTGGCGTCAGGTCGATTCCCCATTCATCCCATCTTAACAGCTTTGTGATTTGGCCCCAACGCAGCCACTGCTGACCGCTGACCACTGGCAGCCACAGAAGCGTCCCCTGCTCCCAGGTGACTGAATTTGAGGAAAGAACCTCATGGGGCAGAGACCAAACCACACATGCAGGCAGTGGCCAGGACCACTATGCTATATCCAGGGCGGCAGAGTGGGTCCTTCATTGGTCCCTCTACCCACGCCATGGGCCATGGGCTGTTCCAGCAACTGCGGAGGCATTTTCTGTGTTGTTGAATACACAAGACATATTAGGAGAGCCTCTGTGTCTAGGTGCTAGAAAAATAGCAGGGGATCAGGGAAGCCCAGTACTCCCACTTGCGCTGTTCCAGGAGTCAGGGGCCCTCCTGTCCCACGTTCATGGATGGAGAAAAGTTCTTTCTTTTGAGTCTAGGGGAACAGTCTTGGGCTGAGCAGGTGGCTCCATTCCTCAAACCCTCCACACTTCGATGTGGCAGGGTGGGAGAGGCACAGGGCACTGCTGCCATCCTCACAGACTGGATTAGTTTCCCCAGCTCTGCCTCTTTCAGGATGGGTCTCTCTGGGCATATTACTTATGCTCTCTGAGCCTCTATTTCTTATTCTGTAAGAAGGGGGTAATAATAGCACCTGGTTGTGCAAAATCAAGGCAAGTTATGAAGGTTCTGTGACATGGGTAAAGCCCCTGGCACACAGTAGGTATTCCTTAAAGAGTAAAACGAGAGCTTCTTTAAATAGCTCTCTGGGCAAGGGAAATGCTAGTCTGGGCCCTCATACTTCCCTCTGAGTTTTACACCCCCCTGGGGCTCTCTGGCAAAGCCAGGAGAATGCCCCCTTCCCTCTTTGACCTGAATGTGGGCAAAGAAAATCCCAAACCCTTAAAATTCCACCTGCAGACTCTTCTAAAAACTACAAAGGAGCCAAAAAGGAAATATGCCAAAAGCTCTTGATTGGTCATGTTCACAGCATCTTGTCTCTGACCCTCCTCGCAAGGGGCCAGCCCCCTCCCCAGCCCCTGGGGCCACAGGCCCTGCATCCCTTCCTGCCCCTCCCACGTGAACTGGGACAGGGACAGGTGCGGCAGGCAGGAAGCAGTCCCGGGCAGCCCTTCCTGGGTGGGCAGGGTGGCGGCAGCGTGGGCAGAGGGGCTGGTGTAGGTGGTCTCTGCTGGGCCTCCCCAAGCAGTGCAGCACAGCACAGAGATTCTCCCTCCCACCCCGTCCCCCTTTTAGAGGGCAGGATGTGCCCTAAGATGCACAGCCTGCACAGTCAGGACGCTGGTCTCTGGAGGACAGTGGCAGCCCCCCTCCCCATCTGCGTCCATGACCTTTATCTCACTCCTGTCTGCTGCCTCTGGCCTTGCTGGGCTTCCTGAGACAACAACAGCTGCTTCCTAAACCAAAGCCCAAAACCCCATTCCTGCCCTAGCCTCTCCCCAGGGGGTGGGGCCTGAGTCTTTTGTCCTCACTGGCGCCAAGAAAGAAGGCTTGGCAGCTCCCCTTTCCTGCCCTCTCAAGTAAGAGAATAAAGTGGAGGCATCTCTGTAAACAGCTGGGGGGGTGTGGGTGGGGGAAGCAAGGCAGGTGGGGCTTGTGTCCTGAACCTGTGGTTTTGCAGCCCTCCCAAAGCCCAAAGATCCCTAGGATCCAGCTCTGACAGTCTCTGACAGTCTCTGATTCTTAAAGCAGTGGATGGGGGGTTGTGGGTGGGATAGGAGGGCGCTTAGCCTGGGGAAGTCCCTGCCTGGCACCTGCTAGGAAGTCAAAGTAAGAAGGGCCACTCTGTTGGCTTTGTACCCTGTTGGCTTGCAGAGATCCCCCAGAGATGGGAAGCAAGCCCTGACTGTAGGACAGTCATAGACAACGCAGTAGGGAAATGCAGAGACAGGGCCCAGGAGTCCTGATGTCCAGCCCCACAGGGATCCGAGCTTGGGCTTCGGCAGGCTGCCTTCCTTACCGAGTGTGAATGGGAGAGGTGGACCTTCTCGTTCCTCTGTGTCTCAGCGGCCAGGTGAGCTGAAAGAGACCAGCAGGAGTAACCTGAGGCCAGGAGCAGCTGGGAGCAGCCCACTAAAGCTCCACAGAGGTGGACTGGCCCACTTGCACCTGGGAGCAGAGGCTTCCCAGAGGGAGCAAGCAGACGGGTCAGGCAGGCAAGCTGCTTGGACTTCTAGCTCTGTTTCATAGCAGTGATTCAGCCTTTTTGGGATGGGTACATGGAAATCCCCGTGTGTGGGCCAGAAACTGGCTGGGAAAGTAATTCTAGGTGCTAAGGTCATTGCTGCTTCTTTTTCAAAAATTTTGTTTGAATTCAATTTGCCAACATATAGTATAACACCCAGTGCTCATCTCATCATATCATTGCTTCTTAAACCTCAGTGTACATTACAGGATCCTGGGACATTCTATGAAAATGCCGATTCTAACTCGGCAGGTTTGGGTTGAGGCCTGAGGGTCTTTTAACAGGCTTCCAGGGAACGTTGCTGCTACTAGCTGGGGACCACAATTCAAGAGGCGAGGTGCTAACAAGTTCTGAGGTCTTGATCAAGAATGCTCCCTCCCTGCGTGCTCCTCCGGGCTCCTCTGTGGTGACATGGGCAAAGCTGACATTTCTTCCTGGGGGCCACACAGGGAGAAGTCAGAGGCAGGCCCAGGATGCCCCCGCCCCGCACAGCCATCTGCAGTAGGAGAACACCGCCAATTTGCAGAGTGTTTGGCACACAACTTCCTGGTTCCACTGCTTCCTAGTTGTGCAACCTCAAGGCAAGTTGCTTAAACACCCTGCCTTAGTTTCTCCCCCTGGAAAATGGGGGCACTTGTAATGAGTAGTTTCTAATGCTACAGTATGGAGAGCATTAGAGGAGATAAAAGCAATAAAAGCTACACAAAAACGCCTGGCACATGGCAGCTCCTCTGATTTATTTTTCGGCCAACCCTCTCAACCAGTGCTGTCTGCCAGAGTAGCCACGAGCCACATCCAAGCGGTGACACAGGAAGCATGGCTGCTCTGAATTATACCGGGTTTTAAAGGCTCCACAGGGAAAAAAATGTAGTATCTGGAAGATGTATCATGAATATTTTTATATTGATTCCACATCCAGATGATAACCAAGTTAATAAAGTATATTATTAACAACTCTAGTTTCTTTTTACCCTTTCACATGTGACTTTTAGAGAAGTTTAAATTGCATACGTGGCTTGGATTCTATTTCTGCTGAACTTGTATTCTATTTCTGTTCTATTTCTCCTGTAGTCTGTATCTGTGATCCCCAAAAGCCATGGCTTAGGGAAGTTAGGTGACTGGCCCAAGGTCACACAGCTTAAAAGGTAGCAGAGCTGGGATTTGAAGCCAAGTCCTGACAGGAGTTGAGCACCTCTCAAGACCCCGAGGCAGGTGTTAGGTCACAGCATTCATCCTGTTCAAGAGCTTAGTCTCTATTCCTGGCCTCTCCACCCCTGGCCATAGCAGTCACCCAAGGAACTGTACCTGCAGAGGCTGGACATGGATTTGCTGGGATCAATAGGGACAGAAGTGATTGATGAGCTTGGACAGATGGGAGCAAGCCAAGAGCCCCCACTCTCCCATTTGCACATTTGAATTGCTTTTTCCTAATGCTGACTGACCTGTGGTTCCCTCAGATGGGAAGAGCAGGGCTCCTGGTACCCATATCTCAAATGGACACACTGACCCACAAGGTCTCAGTTGGGTGGCCGGGGGACTGCAGGTCTCAGCAAGGTCCCTGGCCTCCCACCCCGTCCAGTCTACTTCTGCTCACCTTCCTTCCTCCAGCGGAGCAGATAGCTGCCAAGGGCAGCCAGGCCTGCGGCCAGCAGAAGAACCAGCAGCACCAGAACAGGGGCCAAGATGCGGACCATTGGGATGGAGACTCTGTGGGCGAGACAGAAGGAGCCCAGCAGCCGTCAGCAGATGTCAGTGGCATGCTGTGCACCACAGCATTCTTCCTATGCATCCGGCCATGTCCCTTGTCTTTCCCAAAGAGATCAGAGGGCACCAGGGACCATGGCACCTGGTCAGTCCTGGGGGCAGGGACCCAGCCCCCACTACCTACCCCAGAAAACACTTTCAGTTGGGCCTGAACTTGGCAGTAGTTACCTGGATGCCTCAGACAGGGAAGCCTCAGCCAGTGACTGAGTGCAGGTATAGATAATCCCCAAGAACCAATCCTTCAGACCAGGGCTTCAGTGGGGTAAGAAAAAACATATGTTCATGCTTGGCACACGGTCCAGAGCAAGATGCACAGGGCCATCGGGGCCACTGCCCCTTAGGCTAGTGCTGGGAGAGGGCTGGGGACCTTCCACCTCAGGAGGGCCTATGTGTCCAGAGCAACAGGGCTGCTGGCTGGGCAGTGCCCATTGTTCACTGCTCAAGGGCCCAGCTGGGGGGCAGATGGGTCCTGAGTCTGTGCTGTAAGCTGCAGCCCTGATAGGGGGCTGTGTTTGCCTAGAGGAAGGAGTGCTAGGTCCTCACTTGCTCCAAGGCACCTTGTGTTTTGGGGATGGCCTGAAAGGTGACCTTGGTCATCCGAGGCTCACCTAGACACAGAGCTATTGCTGCTGGGGGCCAGAGCGGTGTCCTCTGCTGAGCTGGAGTCCGGCCGTTTGGAGAGGCGGGAGGTCCCTGCATGAGGAGAGGTTGCTTCATGAGGAGAGGTCTCCGCATACGGAGAGGTTCCTGTGTAGGGGTAGCTTCCTGTGCGCGGAGAGGTTCCTGTGTAGGGGTAGCTTCCTGTGTGCCCGTATGGGGAGGTCCCTGTGAACGTAGGGGCCGAGGCCGAGGCCCCTGTCTTCCCCTGCTTGGCTGTGGTGACTGTTTGGTGGAGACCAGGAGAAGCTACAAGTCCAAAAGCAATGCCTCAGCACTTTCTCGGACCCTTGCATCCCAGCATCCCCAGACCTCTGACCCTTGACCCCTGAACCCTAGCCTCCCCAGAACCAAATTCTCATAATATCCCAGCTATATCCCCAGCTAATATCCCCAGCTAAAGGACACCCAGGGAAGCAAACAGAGGCCTAGATGAAGCCACTGTGGGGAAGCTGACTGTAACTCAGGCATGCCTCACACCTGAGCATAATTTTCAGCCCCTTGTGGTGCCCGCTGACTGAGTAATCACACCCCTGTGTCCACTCCATGGCCCATTCCAGCGGCCATGCAGCACACAGAGGCCTCCCCCTACAGTCCTGACCCGTCATTACCTCGGGTCACCACACGCCCACCCTCACCATCGCTGCCTGAGCAGGCCTTGACTGCTTTCAACAGCCACAGGATCAGCAGGGCAGGGCAGCAGGGACAGGTTCAGAGGCCAGGGTCCAAGGGCCTACCTTTCCTGCTCACCCCTCCAACCCCAGGTGGAACAGACAGGACACAAGCCTGCTGGTGGGGCTGGGCCTCCTCCCTGGGCTCTGCTGCTGCTTAGGTGACCCTAAGCCTGTGACCTGACCCCCCACCCCCCGGGGCCTGATTCCTCTGCTCACAGTACAGCTCCCAGGCACTGGGAGCCACGGAGTGCAGTGTCTGGCTACAGGCAGGCACTCATGGGATGTTGCTTTATAGGGGAGTGGGGGAGAGACAGAAAAACCATGCACTCACTTAATTCTGGGGGCTGAGTTTGCCAAGCTTTTGCCTTGGGCTGGAGGCTCGTGGTAGCAAGAGGCCGAAAGGAGGGAGTGGGGGAGGGAGGACAGCAAGGACCTACGGGAAAGGGAGAGGCTGGTCTCAGGGGAGGCCAGGATCGCCACTCTGAGCCAGGTTTTCTGCCCCGCTTGCAGCCAGTAGCTGTCCTGCCCCCACCACCCAGTTCAGATCTCCACCATCATCTGCCCCCAGTCACTTAGGAGCCACGGATGGTAGATTCTAGTGGGTTGCTGGTCTCCCCGGTCCTGCAGTCCCCTTGGCCTCCGGCTCAGCTCAGACCTTAGCTTCCTGACCGCCAGCCTGCTCTTCCACACCACTCTTTACACCAACACTGCTTTATCTCTAAAATACAGACTGGATCGGGGGATCCCTGGGTGGCGCAGTGGTTTGGCGCCTGCCTTTGGCCCAGGGTGTGATCCTGGAGACCCGGGATCAAGTCCCACGTCGGGCTCCCGGTGCATGGAGCCTGTTTCTCCCTCTGCCTGTGTCTCTGCCCCTCTCTCTCTGTGACTATCATAAATAAATAAAAATTAATAAAAAAATTTAAAATACAGACTGGATCCCGTCACTTCTTGTGTCACAACACTCAGTGGCCCTCACTGCCTATAAGCTGAAGCCCGAACTTCTTACGTGTCTTTCAAAGCCTTTTAGACTCAGACCTCGGTGCACCGCCTTGGCCTCACTTCTCCACCCTCAGGGGCACCTGCCATACCTCTATTTGCCCTCTATTCCCAATTAAGTGAGTGGCCCACCCGCCTCCATGCCTTTGGCGTGCTGTTCCCATGGGTGCCATGCCTCTCCTCTCCACCTCCACCTAACACACTTCTCTCTGTCCTCAAGTGCTGGTTCAAAAGCAGCCTCTCCACCACACCTTCCCCAGAGGAAGCGGTCCCTTCTTCTTGAGTAGCCAAAGTTGAGCCCGCTGCCGGTGGTCTCCCACTGCCCTATGCCGCACCATTGTGCACCAGTAGATGTCTTACTGGGTCTCCCTGAGAGGCTGGGAGGACAAAATGCCCAGCCTCTCTGCCCTGCACAGGGGGCACAAACGTGGTGTGATGGATCCCCCCGCCCCACTGGAGCTGGCGAGCTCCCTGACTCCCCAGGACCCCTCAGTCCCCTCCTTGCTGGAGTGCCATCCAGGACTCCCTCCCTGGCCCCATCATTCTCTTTTCTAATATGAGGTCAGATTTTTTCTGATTTGTCTGAGTAAAGGATCAAATCTTCTACAAATAAAGAGAATTTATCTTTTCCTTTCTGATATTTATACTTCTTTATCTTGTCCATATCTCATGGCCTAGAGCCTCCAGGCAAAGGGGAATGAAGGAAATGATAGTGGATACTCTTGTCTTGTTTTGGCCTTTCTAGAAATTCTAATCTTTCTCCATATTCAATGGTGTGCTGCAGACGGCTCACACTAACTCCGGAGAGCGGACTGTTCACTCTTCAGGAATTTTGTGAGCTGGTCGTTAAACCCTTAGTAGCTGGAAATTGGTGAGGGAGGGGGCATTTAAACCACAGAAACTGGCAAGCATGGCAAATCGGAGCTTCCCCAGCTAAACCTTCACCAGCACACCACTGCCCATTAGCCTTTATTTTCTATATCCCAAATATCATCCGAGAAAGGTCAACATCTGACACAGGATAACACAATAACACATGTATCATACACAAATAAATGATTATAAATGAGGTCAAGATTTAAGAGAGCCTCAAATATGGGTAGAATTGATCCTCACTAGGTAAGAAAGAAGCTGAATACTAATAAGAATCAGAAGAGATCAGAGAATCTTGTAAATAATGCACAACAGGTTCCATATGGTTACAATGCTGCTGTTATTATTTGGGGGAGCTAATTTCTATTTCCTTGAATTAAAATAAAGATCGATGGATGTCAGGGATCTGGCAGTGGGGACGCGCCTGGGGATAGGGTGGGTCCCAGCGATGGGGCCAGGAGAGGGAAAGAACAGACACCAAAGTGAGAAAAAAAACCTGGATTTGAATCCTGGCTTCATCACCTCCTGCCATGAGACCTCGGGCAAATCATTTCATCTCTGGAGCCTCGGGCCCCCATCTGTGAAACGGGATACAAAGACCTGCCTCACCTTCACTGGCCAGCAGACTATGGCTGCCCACTCCCCTGGCCCCTCTCTGGCTTCTCTCTTCTCAGCTCAGCGGGTCCAGGTGGGCTTCTGGGCATCCAGAAAGATGCTCTATCCTGAGCCAGAGTCCCCTAGTGTCCCTGAGCTCAATGAGCTCTTCCCTCCGAGGTTAGATCCCAGGCCCTCTTTGCACCTGCCTTTGGGACTTCAGGATCTGGGACAGAGAAGCAGGAAGGGAGAGCTGAGGCCACCAGCAGGGTGAGGCCAGTGTGGCCATGGCTGGGGCCCTTGGAGTGGGCCTGGGATGCATAATCCTGGCCTGCAGAAGCCTCAGGAATATCTCACACTCACTCCCAAGAGGGAGTCTTTTTATTCCATGGGATGTCCATCTCGTTCCTAGCCCATGCGCTTTCTCTCCCACACCTGGGCGAAGAGGAAAGGCACTGAGCATGGAGTTCCACAGATCTGCGCGGTGGGACCTCGCAGAAGAGCAGCTGGGGCTCATGCTGCCCCACCTGTTCTCCCGTGGCTGCTGAGTGCTTGGCCGGCATCATCTCACTGAGTCCTTGAGCCCCTCGATGACCTTGGTACAAGCACTACACTTCTTGGCGATGGGGAAACAGGGTCTGACACTGATCGCCACCCACCTGTCCTTCTTCCCCTCTGCACCACCTGTCCCCCACCTGGGGGAAGGAGGGACATTTTTTACCTGGAAAGACAAGCAGGGAGACCAGGAAAGACTCATCTCGGCCCAGTTTGGAGACCCCACAGAAGTATTTCCCGGCGTCCTGCAGGGTGAGTTTCCTCAGGGTCACGTTGAGTGTGAGTGTCTGGGGGCTGTCTTGGATGGACACCCTGCCCTCCGTCGTCTCCTGACCGTCCTTTCTTGCATAGATGGTGTTAGAGCAGTGGGAGACAAAGATCCCGCGCTCCCTGCACCAGTACTTGCTATACGTCTTCAGCTCCTCCCTGTAGGTGCACTGCAGAGACACGGTGTCGCCTTCAAACCCACTGATCTCCTTGGGGCCCACCATGGCTCTGTAACCTGAAACCATAGCAGCGCTGGAGGTCAGAACTCCTTGGATTCAAGTACCAGGGTCAAGACCAGAAGACTCCTTCTCCGTCACTCCCTTCTGCGGCAGGCCTGGAAGAGCTGGTGGTCCCTTCCCCATCAAGAGAAACTGGGACAGGGCTGTTGCTGTTTCCCTAAACCTGGCGTACTGAAATGAAGGGTGGTGATGGGGACGTTCTAGACTCAGCCCAGAGTTTAAATCCCAGCACTGCCACTTAATAGCTGTGTGAGCTGTGGAAGTTGCTTGTCCTCTCTGGGCATCTGGGCTTTCCCATTTACAGATGATGATGACAGTGTCCTTCCTATTTTATTGATCTTAAGATGCTATCTATCATAGGTAAGATGCACCGTGATTTTATATACAATTTTAAAAAAGCATTACGACTTGAACAATTGTCTTCAGTTACAAGATACATCCTGATGTTTGATGTTAAAAAAAAAAAAAGAGGCAGACCTGTGAACTGATGAAACAGAATCATCCCTTATGTCTCAGGATTGTTACGAGTGGTACAGTAGGGGTGCAAGAAATAGTTGCAGAGTTTGCCATGGCAACCACATAGGGGGTATCTAGTCTGCCTCCAGGCTGGGTGCAGAGTAGGAAAATAAAGATGAGAGAGGTAAACCCTCACTCATAGCCACCTAACCATGACGGGTTTGGAACCCAAAGGTCTGGGAGAAAACCTGGCTCTGCCTTCCAGAAACAGCAAATGCCTGCCCCCTCTGCAGGCTGAGGACCAGTGCGGCGAGGCTGGGTCACAAAAATGAAAAGTAGGTTCAGGAGGGAGGTCCTCTCCCCGCCAGCTTGGGCATGCGCCCCACGCCCCTCCACCACCTCCCTCTCCTGCCCCCATCTCACCTGGGAGCAAGAGGCAGCCCCACAACAACACTGTGAGGGGCCACATGGTGGGCGCTGGACCTGCAGGAGCACACGCGGGAACTGGAAGCTCCTCTCGGGGCCACGGGGGACTCTAACTTCCTCCAGAGGCACGAGAACTGCACAAGGAAGGGGGGAGGGGCCGGGGAGGTCACCCCTCCGCGCACAGAGGGAGGCGCCTCTTCCATTCCCTTTACCGACCGACCCTCCGCTCTGGTGAAGCACCCAGCGGTGTGCCGCGCCCCCTCACCCCCACCCCCTGCAAACCACCCAGGCGCATCTCGCAAACCCGCGCCCCTTGGGTCTTAACCATGCCCACTGCCATGCACTCCAGGTCTTTTGCAGAATTCAAGGTGTCCAAGCATGAAAACATTACACATTGGCTTTTACGAACCTTTAAGTGATTTAGCTTTTCCTTCCATTGTGAGTGTTTGCAGTGCCTGTGACTTTTTCACAAAAAAAAAAAAAAAAAAAAAAAATCATGAGTAGCCCGGGTGGCTCAGCGGTTTAGCGCCCGCCTTCGGCCCAGGGCGTGGTCCTGGAGACCTGGGATCGAGTCCCACGTCGGGCTCCCTGCATGGAGCCTGCATCTCCCTCTACCTGTGTCTCTGCCTCTCTCTCTCTCTCTCTCTCTCTGTGGCTCTCATGAATAAATAAATAAAATCTTAAAAAAAAAATCAGACACTGGCACATCGGGTTGTCGCCGATAACTCGAAATATCGTATGTACTCCTCAGTGTAAAATAACTAGTTACCAGGTCTGCCACTAGGGCACTGGTGATTGAAAGCATTGATGAAGCCAATGCATTACTCTATCACACACTTACAAATATTCTGATGACCACTTCAATACTATTGGCTTCCTTTTAGGCGTCTGTATATTATTTTATATATTTAAAAGACGATTATTCTGAGAGGAGGTCCAAAATCTTTACCAGATTGCGAAGTGGTCAGGGGCAGTGCCCCCTCCTCCGCCGTCGCTTCCCGGAGGACGCAGTACCGCTTTCGGCCACCGGGCGGCGCTGCGAAGGGAGAGGAGGGAAGCGGACGGGCTGGGCCCAGCGGGATACCTGGAGCCGCCTGCAGGCCGCGCTGTAAGGCTGGCCTCCCCAGCCGCCTTAAATTGTCTGGGCATTCTACAAGGCGAATTAGCAATTTCTTATCACAGAATTGAATCCTCCTTTCAAGGAACAAAACACACAGGCACACTAGAGGGAGCCCTGACACATCATTTTCAAAATAGCTCTGTCGGCGGTGGGCGGGGGGCGGGGGTGAGGGGAGGTTGATTGGAAAGTTCGTACGGATGGCAAGCAAAATTTTACACAATTCAGGAATGTTAAAAAATTAAAATAAAAAAGAGGGACACCTGGGTGGTCCAGTCATTGAGCGGCTGCCTTCGGCTCAGGTCGTGATCCTGGGATCCTGGGATGGGGTCCGGCATGAGGCTCCCGTGGGAGGGGAGACTGCTTCTCCCTCTGTCTGTGTCTCTGCCCCTCTGCCTGTAAAGCCAGGGCTGTTTGGCATATATGGCTCCACATGTACAGGTGGAATTTTTCTCACTTAGTGGTTTAAGGTTTGAAGCATTAACTCAGTTGTTCTGGGAGGGGAGATTGTGTGTGTGTGTGTGTGTGTGATCCTGGCAATGTGGGGAGTTACCGTCAACTTCATGATGACTAGGGGCCACTGCTGGCATGGAATGAGCAGGGGCCCTGGGACCTGACTCCATCACATGTACAGACTACAAAAGGTAATCAGTGTTGCGGTTTTAAAAAGACAGATTAAAATAATATTTATTCTAGACTTTGGTTGTTATCTCTCTTTTCTGTGTCTGTCCGTATACAGAATAAATTCTGATCTTACTTTTCTTAAATCCCAAGTTATATATTTTCAGGGGCAAGTATCTGACACTTCATTATGTTTTCTAGTGTCATGGGACCCCAGCACTGACATTTTGAAATATGTGTTATTTGGTTACAAATTGTTTTCCTTTTCTTTTTTTCTCCTCTGTTATAGTTCAGGTATGGCATTGTGATTTTTTTTAAAATTAAGTGTACGAGAAGGCCTATTATTTATGGTTGTCATTTATGGAGAGTAAAGGAAGTGTTACCAAAAGTTGTATTTTTATGAAGAAGGTGTTGGGTCCAATAAGCATCATCCCTGTTCTCTTCACAAGTATTTGACGTCCTTCCCTCCACCTTCCCAGCCGCACACCTAGCCAGGAGCTGGACTTGAGGACCCCATTAGAAACAGATCATCAGGGCAGCCTGGGTTGGCGCAGCGGTTTAGCCCAGCGGTTTAGCGCCACCTGCGGCCCGGGGCGTGATCCTGGAGACCCGAGATCAAGTCCCACGTTGGGCTCTCTGCGTGGAGCCTGCTTCTCCCTCTGCCTGTGTCTCTGTCTCTCTCTCTCTGCATCTCTATGAATAATAAAAAAAAAAGAAAGAAAGAAACAGATCATCAGGCCCCAAAGCGATGCATGAGTTGGGGAGGAGGGCTTAGAGCAAAGCACTGGGGTGGGCACCGCAGCTAATCCTACCCCGTAGGGTATATGAGGGGCAGGGAACGACCCTCTGATGGGTTTGGGGATCTGAGGAGAGCACACTTGTGTCCTGCTTCCTACCTAGAGTACTGGAGGTGCTCTGCCGTCATAGGATGGGAGAACAGTGGGGAAAAGGGGCTTCTGAACATGTGGCCCTCTGGCAGCCTCATCACATCCTCATGACATCCATGAGCCTGGGGGTGCCATGGCTCAGGTGATAGGATGAGCAGCAGACCTAAGGAAGAAGGAACAGACACACTGGAGCCGGCAGGAAGTGGAGAGCCCAGCGGATGCTGGCAGAAGCGGGTCATGGCAAAGGCTTCTCCCTCCTTTTCTAGGCCTTGATGGTAATTAACAACCTCTGGGATTTAGAACCATCTTAGGGAGAAAGGAGAGTGAGGGAGAACTCTCAAGTTTACTCGGAGGCATCTGAGAAAACCTGCACTGAAACGGAAGTCCCAGGTGTGGGGTAAGGGTTAGCAAGGCCTGTTAGCAGGGCAGACAACATCCGGCCAAAAAAGAGCCCAGCTTGAGAGTCACCTGGCTCTGGGTTCCCCCCTGGATTGGACTTGTTTGGACTGAGTCACTTCCACTGATCTAAGATGGCAATTTGTTCCTCTTCGATCAGGGTTTCTCAACATGAGCACTACTGACATTTTGGCCTAGATGGTTCTGTTATGAGAGTCCATCCTGTGCATTATAGGATGTTAAGCAGCATCTCTGGCCTCTATCCACTAAATGGTGGTAGTCTCCTCCTTGCCCCCTCCAGTTGTGACAATTAGAAATGTCTCTAGACATTGTCAAATGTCCCCCTGGGAGGCAAAACTACTCTGGGTTGAGAGCCACTGCCTTAGATGATGACTGAATTGAGGGAAAAAAAATAAAAGGAGACTGCAGGCGTCCCCCCACAGTGGGGCTGGGGCCGTCCCTGTCACACCGGAGCTGCGGAGTAGCCCTGCCCAACACACACTCTGCAGACAAGCCAGCTCCTGGGAGAAAGAGAACAGAGAGTTGGGTGATACATGCCTTGTTTCTCCTTCCAAATTCATAAAGCAAATAAGCAAAGGAGTGGAGAGAGACCAAAGGTGCTATACCCGTGGGCCTCTCTCTTCTTGGAAGGAAATGTCAGGAGTGGGGGTGAAGTGTCCCCCACAAAGATGGATGAGCTGAGCCACAGGCTGGAAAAAGCCTGCATTCCTGAATCACCGCTTGGGAGAAAGCTGCCCCGACAGCTCCCAAGTCTGCAGCAGACTTGGCGTGAGCAAGAGATAGACTTTGTTTAGCCACTGAGATTTTATGGCTTGTTGCTGTGTCACAGCCTAAACCACCAGAGAATTTGTTTTCTCATCCACATCTCATTCTCTAGCCCACCTACGACTCCCCCATCCCCAGCCGGTTGCGAACTCAATCTTTCAACCTCCTCCACCGAAACAAATCTGAAAACTCCTTTTGAGATTTTTATGTTGACTGAGTGGTGGACTTTTTTACTTCTAGGAATGATGCTGAGATGAGGGGGGAGAGCAGCAAAAAACACGGAGTGATTAGGGCCATCCTCCGTCAGAAGCTGGTTGAAACAGGAATATATGCTAAAATCTTTGCAAAAACTCTGAAAGCTTAATGTAGTAGTGGGATACCTTGGATCGGATCCCAGAATAGAGAAAGGATTTTAGTGGAAAAACTAGTGAAATCCTAATAAAGTCTGGAGTTTCATTAATAGTAGTATACCAATGTTAATTGCTTCACTGTGACAAATGTATCAGGTTATGTAAGATGTTAACATTAAGGGGGGGCAGCCCTGCTGGCCCAGCGGTTTAGCGCCACCTTCGAGTCGCATGTCGGGCCCCTGTATGGAGCCTGCTTGTGACTCTGCCTCTCTCTCTCTCTCTCTGTGTGTGTGTGTGTGTCTCATGAATAAATAAATAAAATATTTTTTAAAAATTAGGGGGAAACAGAGTGAAGGATATTCAGGTACTTCCTGTACCATCTTTGCAACTTTCCCATAAATCTGAAATTATTTCATAATATAAAAGTAGTTTGTTTTTTTGTTTTCTTTCTTTCTTTCTTTCTTTCTTTCTTTCTTTCTTTCTTCTTTCTTTCCTTTCTTTCTTTTCTTTCAGCAAGCAGTGAAGCATCAATATGAGTGTGAGAGGTTATCAGGCCAAGGTCAACAAGTAGAAACCCAGAAAGATGAGCTGAGTATGCAAGGCACTCTTGTCCTTGAGAGTATTTACTGATTAAGAAGCAGCAGCTAAGGGGATGAGCTAGGAGTCTATGTTCCCCCAAAAGTGGGGAATCTGGTATATGTTTTTTATCACATTAGGCTAGAACCCCAAACAGCTGCACTTTTAGACAAGGGTCAACTGCAAATAAATGAGGCCATCATGGACTCAGCCTCTTGCCTTTGAGGTGTCTCCGGAAACCTCAAGCTTTAAACTTGAATTTAAAATGGTCCTGTTCTGGCAACACCCTCCCTACCCCAACTCCCAGATAAAAAGATACCAATGAAAAATCCTTTCTGGAGGAAATAGCATCAGCCTAAGTAAGTCTCAAGTTATTTTA